TAGTATCAAGCGCCATAATAAATACCATGCCCGTCTTTGTTCTTTAGCTTCATTTTCGTATTTATCTGATCAAACCGTTGGTGTGAATTCCAGGATTACTCTCAGTGGGTTAATAATAACATTTATGATGGTGATTGCTCGAGAAAGAAAAAAAAAGTATTACCATTGCTGTCAAAACCTTTTTCATAAAAATGTAAATTAGTATATACAGAAATAAATTGATGACCGTTTCTTTAATGATACTCACAGGATATTACCGCATATAGTGCATCTAATTACAAATCGAAATAATAATCGTAAACATTCCTCCGGATATAACGATCAAAGAGCAACAAATGGAATTTAAATAACCTATATGTCCGATAAAATACTAAGTTAAAATGCTTTTTTTCCAATAAAATTCCGGTCTCTGCCTCTTTCGAATTCCCTTTAGTAGTTTCGCTTAAATCTCTTCGAGCATGAATAATGATCTAGACGAATTCATGTCTAAAAAATTTTTTCCAAGTTTAAATTTACGCGTCAATTTTCTTTGAAGAAGCCACGAAAAATTAGACCTTTTGACATTATTACAGCACACTACTGCTCGACAACAGCGTTGGTCGCATTGTGAAAGACATACAAAGATTTTTGCTGCTCAATTAGTAGAGCAGCATCTGAATTCTAAAATACGTAAAACATTTGCTGGTAAAGTTTTTGGAGGGTTGGAATGCCTGAGACGGATAATTCGTGGGCATTACTAACGATCGCTGCTATATGTGCCGACGGTTCCAGCATTATAAATTAAAAGATCTTGCATGTTCTGATTTTGGTAATTGGCCACTCTTTCAATTTCTATTTACAGTTAGTTTACTTTCTCAATTCAATTATTCGCTTCAAAAAATTAATTAAATATTTTCCAGGTTTCAACAAATCCGCTTAATATTTTTCTTGTTAATAAGAAATTTTATCTCGGCACGAGATAGATAAAAAAAGGTAATTACGCTTTATTTTAATAAAATTGTGTTTTATATAAATATTCATTGAATAAATACAATTTATAGTGTAGGTGAAACCGTTATTAAACTTTGAACTAAACATCATAGATATTATATTTTTCCTGCGTGGACAATTTTCACATTGTTGGATACTTCGCTTTAACTGAGCTAGGCGGTGGAATGGAAGCAACTGCTATATATGATGATGACAACACATTGTTAGCTCAAAAATATTGGATCACTAAACGTAGGTTTTTCAAAAATTATATCAAAACGAATAAATGTTCATTTTTTTTTAATTTTAAAATAATATTATTGTTATTTA